GGAATCTAGTCCACAGTCGTAGCCTTGGAATCCAGGTGGGCATTTACAGCGTCCAAAATAGTCACAGGGGGCGTTATTTTTACAGTTGTATCCGGCATTCAGACAATTAAAAGATGCAAGACCTAAAATAAATAAAGTAATTGAATTTTTTTCTATAATTTTTCATTTCAGTTGTTGGTATTATATATGTTATTGAGATTGCTTTTGTTTATTCGATGAGTAGGAAAAATATTATAGTAGTTTCACTGATGACAAAATACTAACTTTTGATATAAAAAAATTAGTTTATAAAAGGGATATTACAGGGAGGGTAATCAATGGCTTAGTGGATGAAAAAAGGTATGTCTTCAAATTCTTGAAAGAATTAAATGCTAATATCATATCTGAAAAAAGATATGTTATGTGTACTTAGAAAGATGCAAGACTTAAAGGAAATAGTTGAATTTTTCCCTATATTTTTTCATTTCAGTGATTGATATTGTGCATGCTGTTGAAATTGATATTATATATTCGATGAGTTTCACTGATGACAAAATATTAACAATTGATATCAGAAAAACGAGTTTAAAAAGGAAAATTAAATTTATGGTTTTCTATAGGTTTAGTAAATGAAAAAAAGGTTTGACTTCAAATACTTAAAAGATATGCTATTTGCATATCTGAGCATAAGATAGTTTAAAATCTTTGAGATATGAAGAAACTATAACAATAATAATAATAAAAAAATATTTCTTAAATGTACGAAAAAATGTCAGAATATTTCATTTTAAAAGCCGATAGAACGAAGTGATGATTATAAATTTATACATTTTTGTTATGTAAAATTTTGTACGAAAATAAGGTTAAAGTAAAAAGAGAATTGTCAGTTAAGGAAAAAAAAATTATGCATTACTTTAAATATACAAAAATACAAATTTCAAAAACTGTCAACTCTTAAATGTTTTTGCAATTAATTTGTACAGCAATTATGATTTACCTAAGATATTCCATGCTTCCCAAAACTTTTTAGTTTTATTATTAAATTATTGTGGCTTTAAGGGCTTTAAAAGTTGTGGACATTATGCAATTAACAAATTAGATATATATGTGGTAATATGACAAACCATTTTTCAACTGTATATTTTTGTTGGTGAATAGCTTTGTACTTACCAACTGCAAAGCTGGATAGCAAAACAAAGGGACACAAAGGTGACATTTTCTATGAAAAGCAAAGAAAAATGATTGTTTTTTGTGAAGAAATATACGAATTAGAATAAAATTATTGTAAATTGCTCTAATTTATCATAAACCCTCAACAATCTTGCACGATAAATGGCATACACGATCCTTCAGATTTGTATGCGTTTTTTTAAAAGAAAACCTATATGACAAGTTGAAACAAAAGACTAATTTTTCATTTTTTTTTTTTGGTACAGCGACATCATGAAGATATATACCTTTTTTTTTAAAAATAATTTTCTTTTATCTTTTTATCTTCACGTTTATTGAATTTATGTTTAACATTCAGATTGAAGAGCTTTGCAGCAGACAGAATAAAATATAGCTTGCAACTACGTGTAAAATTTTACCAAGCTAGTCCTATTATTTGAATATCTTTATTGGAGTTAAATTCATGTTCAAATGAAATGATAAAGATTTAATATTGTTTCATAGTTAGTTGCACTTTCTTTTGCTTGAAGTATTTTATATAACTCTGCCCAGAAAGTCAAGATAAAAAAAAGGGAACGCAGAACTAAACGACATAATTGTTTTATGATGAAATTCTCGTTCATGCCAGTTGTACCAGACTTGAGCCAAACAAAGAAAAAGTATTGGAAGATCATTTACAAGAATCAGCCGAAATAATAAATTTCTAAACGAATGACAACACGCAATAGTCATTACTAACTAATTGTGCTGTTTTATGTAAAATTCAATCTTAACTTTTTGAAAGATTCCCATTAATACTCCAAGGAACATGATTTTGAAAACATAAATGAAAAACAAGTGCAGAGATAGCAAAATCTATATTAATATAAGTATCCTTATATTTATCTCGTCAGTAAAGATTTCACCTTGATGTTGAGAATATTATCTGATAATGCCATCATTGGTGTCTATCAATTGATTCCAAAAATTTCTATTTATAGCAAACCAAAACAAAGCAAAACAAAAAAGAAAAAAAACTTTTAAAATAATAAAGTTTATAATAAGTCTTTCAAAATAAACGTATTCCTCATTTTAAAATATATGTATTTGAAATTTTGGTGAAAAGAAAGGAAATTAGTAGGAAAAGGTTTAAATTGTTTTGTATTTCGAAAAATAAAGTATCATTGAAGCGCAGTTTTTAACAAACCAACAGACAGTCAATGTTCGTTTGCCATGATTAGATTTACTCAGTTATAGTAACTATAGTGCAAGACATTAACTCCATAAATTATTGTTGATAATGTGCAGATACACGATGAGCGTGATCATAGAGAAAACTCGAGAGCTGCTCTTGTTAGTAAAAAAAACAACGATCGGGTATCTACACATACCACCAATATTATATTGGGTAAATACTACTTGCAATTATTTAATTACGCTTAATGACTTAAGTATAAGAACTTAATACTTACCTTGAAATATAACATTCACTAATAAAAGTAAAACACTATTCTCTATCAAACCAAAACCCTCATTAAATATATTATATGGTTGTACACAGGATACCATAAACTAAACATATGATAAGTTACACTAGGGATGAAATTTAAAATAATACCTGTCAAACAATTTAAAGATTGCAATACCTTGCAATACATTACAAATATATGTTCTTTGTGTCCTATTTTGGTTTTAGAAAGTAAATTTACATCAAATTAAGAAATAAATTACTCTGATTATAGCTAAAACGATTTCAAAAGAAATGAGTAGTTAACTTTTACAGATTGATTTAACATAGTTATAACATTTACCAAATGCAGAAAAATTTGCTGTCAGACCAAAGCACTTTAAGATATTCCGTTCCAGTACAAATTCACCCATTGTGAAGGCATCTGATAATAATGTTGATATTATGATATGCAATGGAACTACTGTTGTGCAGTGATTTCCAGAACTAATGGAAACGATGTTAAGACGGTTCTTATATATGTAGACGCTATTTTGGTGGCTCTTAAAGTATGTTGAATCCTTGACGCCTTGTGATGATGGTGTCTGTACGTCCCAACAACTATTGCCAGAACATCTACAGATGTTTCATGTTTTCGGGCAACAAATGTTACATTTAACAACTGCATTATTTGTTTCCGTCTCTTAAAGAGTTGTATTCTACTCTATTAATTTACGTTTTGTCTGCCGAAGTATGAAACGTACTTTAGAGAATATATCTATCAACAAGGCCTTGTTTGTTTATAATCAATTGATAAACTGAAGGGAATGATTCAACATTCTGATAAGAACAAAGGAACTTTTCAAGGTTTAACAAGAAATGTCCACATCTAAAAGCAAAATTGCAGCTTTAAAAAGAATAATTTCATGATTCATTTATTGATTGTATATTGTTTTACGTCCCATATCATTCGAGAATTTTTCACTCATATAAAGATGTCACCATATACCGATGAAGGGCTTCAAATTTCGACCTTTACTCGACACTCAGGGTCATTGAGCAGTGAAGGATCATTAAAGTGCCAACGACTGCCCCGTGTCACGGTCCGAAGGACCCGCAACTTTCACTTCACAAGTGCCGATCGCACGGCGAAAGAACAGTTGCTACCTATTTTTCATCGACTTAAGCTAGTCGTGAGATTCGAACTCACGTCCTTCCGATCACAGAGCGAGTGCTCTACCGACTGAGCTACCGTGACGGTTATTTCATGATTTAATCCTATGTTACTTAATTCGTTCTGTACAATATATCGACAATACATTCAGTAAATATACGACTTGTTTATCATTAACTGCAGCCGAATTTTCTGAGATTGTAGAACAATCGTATTTCTAACAAATATACATCAACTATTGCTTCCAAACTTTTTAATTTCAAGAAAACTTTACAGGGCTTAGATATTGAACATCTGAAACATAATCCTCCAACGTGTTTATGTTCTTCATCGTACAACTATAGCCTGCTGGACAAGCCATTACTGATGACGTAAATATAGTTAATGATGAGGACCTTAAATCACTTATTTTAAAAGGGCATGAGTTTAGGGAACCCCGATCTTTCAATTAGCGTCATAATTCCATAAATACTATGAATTCTATGGAACTTTTTCATAATGGATTAATGTATCAGATGGAGGTTGAAATATCGCATAAAGCGATTGAGGGACAATATGAAAACCATCTATCCTTCCCTGTTCTGTAATTCAGAAGTGAAAAAAAAAATAAGATAGATTACACGATCAGTTACTGATCCCAGCTGACAAGGCAGGTAACAACAATGTCTTTGTTGGTAAGATTCATTATTTTAATTGTATGTAAGGGGAACTGGGATTTAATTCTGCAAGTGGTAATCCAAATTGTACCCTTAGCTCCTTCTAAGGAGGAAGTTCTTCAAAATCAGTTTAAATATTTTTAATACATGTATTTCAAACAATCAAGTTGAATTACCATACCTATCCTGGATTCCCAAACTACATAAAAAATCCTTACAAATAAAGATACAAAGCGAGTTCCAAGAAATGTTCTACCAAGCCTCTTTCTTTACTCCTCACTAAAACATTAGCAGCAGAAACTTTAAGAGTACTGCACAACAATATATTTGAGAAGTGGTGTAAAACAGATGTGGATACTTAAAAATTCCAAAGAACTTTTAGAAAATTTGAAATCACAAAAATTTTACCAAAATCAATCACAGCAAAACGTACGACTTTTCTACACTTTATACAACGATTCCCCAAGATAAATTAAAGTCCAGTTTTTTGACATCTTTGACAGCTGCTTTTTCAAGAAAAATGGAAATCGTAAATTTTCCTTCCTTATCATTAGTCATTTGCAACTTTATTTTGTTAAAAAAAAATCTGATTATACATACAAGAACTCTAAAGTTGATATTAAAAAGATGCTTGAGTTTCTGATTGACAATATCTATGTAGCTTTTGGAGACCAGGTCTTCCAACATTCTGTCGTAGTTCCCATGGGTACCAATTGCGCACTGTTATTAACAGACCTATCTTTGTATTCATATGAAGCAGAATTTATTCAAAATCTTATACATGACAAGAAAAAAACACTTGCCCTAGTCTTCAACTCGACATTAAGATAAATCGACGACGTATTATCAATTAACAATAGTTACTTCCATTCATATATCGACTCGATATATCCCAGTGAGGTAGAAATAAAAGACACCATAGAATCTGACACATCTGTTTCACATTGGATATTTTACTAAAAACGTTAATGGTGACCTATCAACCAAGCTTTATGATAAACGCGATGACTTTAACTTTTCAATCGTCATTCCCATCGTCATGTCAATCGATCGTCATGCCCTTACTTATGCAGCAATATACCCTTATAACCTGCAAATGGGTTTTATGTCTCTCAATTGATTCGATAGGCAAGCGGATGTTCTATGTACAGAGAATTTCTAAAACGTGGCAAGCTATTGACAAACAAGTTGATGAAACAAGAGTATCAATAGTCTCGTGTAAAGTCATCTTTTTCGCAAGTTCTATGGTCAATACAATTACTTTGTCATACAATCCATCATTAAGTCAAATATTGACTGACGTTTTTCATATTAATTCTTAGGCCATTTTTTACACACTGAATTGTCTACGGATTTTTCCGTTTTTTCCCGATTATGACAGGGAACACACGGCGGTTGTGACCGGTCCACAGGGAATGCTCACTCCTCCATGGCATCCGATCCCACTTCTGATGTTCTAGATATCCGTGTTTACTCTTCTCCTGTTTTGTATTGTTTGAATGGACTTTTGAGCTTGAATACTGTTCATTATCTCCGTAAAAGTGCATATCTGCATTAATTCTTGGAATATAAACATTTAAATCCCTTAAATTGTATTTTTATTGATACTTTTATTTTACTCGAAAATAACCATTTGGAATTCTTAAAGGGTAAAGAAAATAACTTCGATAAAATTTACTGCTGAAAAAATACTAGTGGACCTAAATTTGGTACTTCATCAAGAGACAACTTGTGTTGCACTTCCTTTTCTAGACTGAATTATGAAAAACCAAAAACCACTTTATCACAATCCA